CTCTTACCCTGATGAATGAGACGTTAGCAGGGAAGTCTCCGGGTGTAAGGGGGGGCGTGTCTGGGAGTGGGGGGGCTGCAATGGGGCCCCGGGAGATCCGCAGGGACACGGGGAATGGGACACTCTCACCTGGAGGAACAGCAGGGGGCGCAATGGGGTCTGTTCCTCCCCCCTCTGCACAATTGTCCTCCACCTTTATGGCAAGTCCCTCCTCCTGACTCCATCCCCTCTCCTCTGTCTCTGCTTCAGTGCTCTCCCCCTGACCCTGATCCTTCTCTGCCTTCTCAGTCACTTTCTTTCCTCCCTCTGTGGATGTCTCCGGTCCCTGTCCCTCCTGAACCTCCCTGTCTTTGTGCTCTTCCCCCAATACCTCCTTCTCCTCCCACACCCCCTGTTCCCCTGGCCCCCCCAGGCCTCTCCGGGCCTCCTGGGCCTGTAGGTCGGACAGATAATGGCGGACGTTCTGCCGGGCAATGTGTACCAGCCTGGCATCAATGTCCAGGCCCACAATGCATGCGGGCTGCCAGTCGCGGGCAATGGACAGTGTGAGGTGACCCGTGTTGCAGCCCAGGTCCAGTACAGCCTTCCCTCGGAACCACTCAGACCTCAGGACTCGAATCCGTGGGTCCTCACTGCGCCCTGGGTTACGGTAGCCATAGTACTTGTTATAGTTGCCATACTGGAACTTCTTGGCCTGCTGAGCCAGACGGCGACTGCCACAGGTGGGTGGAGCCATAGGGTAGGGGTCGCTCCTGCTGGAGTTTCGCTTGCGTTTGCGGTGGCGGGAAGCAGATGGGGCTGCAGGGGCAGGGCCAGAGATGGTCTGAGTCTGGGTGGCTGGGCCCTGGTTGGGGACAGGGGAAGCATCCACTTTCAGCTCACTTCCGGGAGCGAGAGTGGGGCCTGGTGACAGGGTGCCCTCTTTGGGAGCCTCTGGGACCACACCCGGCAACGATGGTGGCACTTGCCCATCATCACTCCTGATACCCCTGGGCTCTGGGGGATTGGGCTGGGCGACTGCAGCTGCCCCTCCCCCACTACCCCCACCGTGGTGGCGGTTTCGATGTCTTCGCCTCCCCCCGCTCCGCAGTGGGGACACCAGTATTCCACAGTCACTGTTAAGGTTGAGCGGGTCAGTAATATCCCGGGGCACCAGGATCTCCACTGGGTCGCGGCTCTTGGCGGGAAGCGGGGAGGACTCGGGTGTGGCCGCATTGATGGCGCGGTTCACCTCCTCGTCCAGCAGGCTGTTGAGGTTCAACGGGTCAAAGATGTTGCCGCCCAGCAGAAAGTTAGTGGGAAGCACTGGGTCGCTCTCCGAGTTTGCCCGCCGTCGCCTCTTGCCACCGGGGCCTGGGTGTTTAAAGCCAGGGGCCACAGTGTTGCGACGCTTGTTCAGCCGAAGCTGGCCTGGCTGCTGAGGCTGTGGTTTCTGGGCCAGGTGTGGTTGCTGTTTTTGCTGTAGCTGCTGTGGTTGTGGTCGTCTTTCTTGCTGTGGTTGCGAGGAGCTCAGAGGCCCATTTCCAGGTCTGGCAGGATCACCCCCTGTCCTGGCCCCCTGCCCCACGCTCTCAGTCCGGCTACCACTGCTGGCTAATTCGGCAACATTGGCTGAACGCTCTGCCAATGCAACGCTGCCCGTGAATGAGGCAGAGGCCTTCTCGCCGGCACAGGATGGACCCCCAGTAAGGCTTCCAGTGGTTACCATGGCCACGCACGTGGCCTCAGTGGGATTTCCGGAGCATTCCACCACTGTGGATGAGTCCACGCGCCCGTCCTGGGGTAAAACAGTCTCTTTGTCGAGTGACATCTCGATCATCTTCCGTCTGAAACAACCACAGCTGGAATACAAGCTGGCATGGATCTGTCAAAAACAAAACAAAGTAAAATAAGTGCAAATACATTTAATCAACATTCACAACAATACATGTGGTGTTTCTTGACAGATTCAACTGATCAGTGTCAGAAGCCGCCTTCAATCAGAAAAAATATCACACATAGATGCATTTTAAATGTACCTGTTTAATTAGGAGCTCTCTTCACCATTGTATCAAAACAAGTTTTGAGTTGTCCAAATTCTGTGATTCTTTGTGGCCTGGTATATAATTTAGTAGCCTGTTAAACATTTAAAGACAAATAGGCACACGAGAAAATTGCAACTCAACTAATGTTAGGTATCAAACAACAGCAGCTAGAAGTTAGGGCTATGGTCACCGAGCATTCATGGCACGGTGCAAGTCGAGGCAAACAGTTTCATGCCTGGACGTTGTATGTGCGTTTAAAAACGTAAGTCGAGCTCTTGTCTGCGTGCTTTGCGTGGATCCGCCTCCTGTGGATTGCAATGAGTGGGAGAAGCTATGAACATAAGCCCGCCTCCCAGCGTCCCTCTCTTGGCGTACTCATGAATTATTCATTACCAATGAGAGCTAGATGAAGGTAAAAAAAAAAAAAGCATTCAATCAACTCACAGATGGAGCGTTCACAAACATACACAACACTGCCAACCGCCACTTTCTCCGCCTTCTCTTCAAAAGAGTAGACCCAGCCTCCCTCCCTCACGACTTAGTTTCTACAGAGAGAGAAGAAATAAAAACAAAGAATTAAATCCAATCAATAACTGACCTTGCGACCGACATGTTACTGTAATACCCGTCAGTTACTATTTCCTGGCTAGCTTGCTAAATATTTAGCCGCCTGTTATAGCTAGCTAGGTAGCTAGCTAACGTAATAAGTTAGTCTGATACGTAACGAAATAACCAAATTGGGAAGACACACCCCTTGGAAGATAAGAAGTCGATGAAATTGTATACAAAATTACAAAATCTCGCAGTCACTCTGTGTGTGAGTGTGTATAGTGGTGAGCGTGTTTCTTCTCAACTGCCACCAGCTCTAGTGAGTAACCAAGTTTTTGGTTCCTCTGCTTTAGCTCGCTCAACGCTGTAGGGTGGCTGGGGTCTTTATATATTCTCCTTGGGAACGCTTAAATATGGATTGGCGTACGACACAACCAGTTATTACGCAGCTTCGAAGCTGGTGCACCCGTAACTAGCCAATTGAACAGGTCTTTTAGGCAAACTGAGGCATCCCCTCTGTCTCTTTTTCTATTGAGGTGTCCATTATTTTGCCTGTAAGGAGTGTACACCAAACGAAGCAGATAATGTAAGTACATAAGCCACCGCAACAGGAACAATGACTTAATCTCTGAATCATATTTTTTTGTGGAAAAACCGTGTTTGATAATGAATATATTAACAACTGTCTTTTTCGAGCGAACAGGGAAATTAACAAGCGATCCCTACCCGTGTAAACAACCTTCGACAGCTTGCAAGGGTATGTTCTGTGAAGAAAAAAAAGAATGTTATACTTACAGTGACATTGTCCCAGGTTTAATGTATTCGTGTTAAGGTTATGCAAATACACCACAACAAAAGGAAACGATATGAAGTTTGTTTCGGTTACCGCCCCTCCACTCCGACATGTGGTTGGGCAGGGGCCTTTGAGACATGGTCATGCTCATGGGATATGATGTTTTCTTAAATTAAGTGTTGGTTTGGACTTTTTGCTCCACTGCAGATTTTATTATTTTATACATTTTATACATTATTTTATACATGTCAATTTCCATAATCACATCGTATTTCCTTCACTTATAATGTAAAAGATGATCTTATTTACCAGTGAGACACTAAACTATATGCTACATTTTGCATTCCAAGTTTTGCCGTACATTTGTATGCTCATTTGAAAAAACAATGCCAGGCTAATACATTCTGATTCATTTGATACATATTAAAACGTGTTTAAAATGATGGATTTGGACATCTTTAGAGTTTAAAAGATGTTCTTATTATTTTCATAGGCCCACTCAAGACACATGTTGATAAATATTAGGATATTTCTGCATGTGAAGGTTCAAGAAAGTGTGTTTTCATCATTATCTGTTTATTCCACTTGCTGTATTGCCAAAGTTGATGGCCTGAATGGTTGTTTTTGTAAAGGTGAATTATTATATTACAGCACCTAGATGCCCAGTGATGGTACTCAGAAGAAAAATGTCCTTTCCAAATGCATACTTGGTCACACCAGGGTCTTCCTCTGTGGTAGGAACAAGTGGAATCACTGGTGGAATCAGTGAACAGTCGGCTGTGTGTGTGTGTGTGTGTGTGTGTGTGTGTGTGTGTGTGTGTGTGTGTGTGTGTGTGTGTGTGTGTGTGTGTGTGTGTGTGTGTGTGTGTGTGTGTGTGTGTGTGTGTGTGTGTTGCATTTGAACATTATCTTTGTCATTTATGTAAAGAACTGAGCTCTGCCAAGAAAATCTGAACCGGTGGATCTGCAGGTTATTATCAGCGAGCCATAAATGATGTATGATCCAGCTGTAAATGTGAATCGCCACTATGTTTAACGTGGTAGCCCAAACTGAGTCGGCACAATACAGAACAGTATGAGTCTATTCTTTCTTTTTTCTTGCCCTAAACCTGTAGTATCATCATTTAGCCACCAGATGGCGTGTCACTCCTATATGTGTGGCCATGTTTGCGCTAAACGGAGCTTCTGGTAGTTTCTGTCCCTATGAGTTAAGATGTGAGCTGATAAAACTTTCGAAGGATTCATGAGTCATTACAGATAAAGGTTCACTTTAAAAACTCATTTAATCAATTTGCACACACAAATCGACAGTAATTGTTACGTTTTAGAGAATACAATTCAGTGATTTCAACCTATTTTTGACATTATTGTTTACATGTATGTGTGAGTGTAAGTAGTAGGTCTTGCCTCTGCATCTAAAAATTTTCTCTATTCGTTCACCATCATTACTATTATTGAATTTGGATAATGTTGACCCTAAGCCTTTAGAAATAGAGCGAATTTATGATAGGATATGATATAATAAAGCAATATAATTATGGGTAATGGTACTACTTCATGAATGTATGATATGGTTTACGAATTCATTTTAATACTACCCTGTGAACCATTCAATTTCTCCCACATCTTTGCGGGGCTCTGTGGCGCAACGGATAGCGCATTGGACTTCTAGACAGTGACAGTGTGAAGTCATTCAAAGGTTGTGGGTTCGAGTCCCACCAGAGTCGAGGCGTTTTTGTCTGAGCATGCGCTGATTGGCACCAACAATGCAGTGAAACATTCAAAGTGACATCTAAGCAAATAAAACTATTGTGCGTTTTCACCGCACAGCATAATGGAAAATCTAGGAAGTTTGGCAACAAAAGGCATGTACATGGAACAACAAATTCACAGTTAACTATGCCTGTGTAAATTAATGGAACTTTCCTGTACCACATAGGCCAATCCACATGTGCTTTTCATTAAATACATAGTTTTTAAATTGGTTGTACCTTCTTGTTAATACTTTAAAGATGTGTTATATGCATTGTCAACAGTGATACAGGACAACCTATTTGGTGCCATTTACCCTGTGTTTTGTAGGACTTCGAGGGTATGTCTGTGTTTTATTAAGTTACTTCTGGCCTTATTTCATCAGCAATATTGTTGATAAAATAAGTTCAAAGGAAGTCAGATGCTTTTGGCTGAGGCTCACTTTATGACAACTTTGGAGTAGCTTGACAGTTTCCATTCCATTTTTGTTGTGTTTTTTCTCACATGAAACCTCGACACAGGTTTTGCATATCCAGTTTTATTGAGAACTTGTATCTCAATAGTGAGGTAAGAACACATGGTGGTGAGAACTCATCAGTTAGCTTGGGCATTTTCTTATTCATGTGAATGCTCAGTGTCAGTACTTCTAAGCCAGCTGAACAAAAAAATCACAAAACAGTGAATGTATAAATATTCATATTTTGTAATTTACCTCACTTTATTATAAACATCATGATGGTGATTATGAATTGGGTAACATGTAGTTTTCACATTTTCACAGCTGGTTTGCAGTTATGTACATTTCATGGAAATGAGAATAACCACACAATATAGGTGGTAATGGTGCTCATTTATGCCCTTCACCTGCTCCTTCACATGTAGTGGGGGCGTGGCTAACTCAAACACAAATCAGAAGTGACCACAAAAGAGACACTGGATAAAAATATATATATATTTATTGAAGCTATGTTACAATACATTTACAGGCTTCCAGTGTAACTATATATAAATATAGATATATAAATATGTCTTTTTATGTACACTATAGACAAAAGTAATTAAAATAATTGTGCATGTTAAGTCACAGAGACAACAGGAAGGCAGAAGAGATAATTGACCTTCACAAAGGAAGAATATGAAACAGCTGATTTTGTAGGAAGTAGTAACACAGTGTGTGGAGCATGTGGCTCTGGCAGATTCACAGGGAGAGCAGCTACGGCCATGCTCAGTATCAGAGAAGCACCTTAAAACAGCAGTTTTATAAGTGGCAGACAGCCTGACTGTGTACCACACAACACTGAAGTCCATCATTCACCGTTTTTGGATACAGTCCCTGCAAACCACCACCAGGTCCAAAACACACAGAAATACAGCATTCAATGCGAAATGTGGGAAAATGTTTGGCATCTTGTGTGCAGTTCTGCCCTACTCCACACCTGATTGGCAGCAGCTGATGCTGGGACCCACACACTCACATCCTGTCACCATGGCATTAGTCTGGGGTTGGAGGTTCAGAGTTCATTAGTCTTTCGGCTGCGGATGTTCATGACCAGGGCCTCCAGATGGCCTGGCCCGGGCGAGGGAAGAGCGCCCGCCTCAGTGCTCCACGCTGCCCCCTCTTGGCAGGAGAAAGGGGTGCAGGTGGGCCGTGAGGGGTGGGTGGTGTCAGAGAGGGAAGGGGTGGTGCTCCTACCAAGGAGGAGTGGCCAGGGCCTGGCTGTGGGGAGGCGGAGTGAGAGGAGGAAGAAGAGGAAAACTCTGAGGAAGGAGGAGATAGGGTTGGAGGGAAGAGGAAACTGCAGGGAGCAGAGAGATATGGGGGCGAAGTGTTGGTGTAGCAGGGGGAGGGTGGAGGGGAGATGGAGTAGGGGGAGAAAGGTAAGGGTGGGTGAGCATTTGGCCAGTGGGGTGCTGCAGCACCACAGGGTTGGGGTACAGAGACAGGTGTGTGTGAGAGTAGGAGTGGGGCTCAGAGGTAGGAACATCGCCCCCATTCTGCAAGGAGGAGAACTGTGCTGAGGGCTCCCCAGGGGCCGAGGTGTGGGGCCCCAGGAAGTGTCTAAGGCCCTGCAGGAAGTTCTGGCGCTCGGCGGGGTTGATGCAGTCCATGAAGGTGTTGAGGCGGGTGACGCACTGCTGGAAGCCAGCGGAGTACAGGGAGCTTGAGGCGGGGCGTGGCTGTTCACAGGCTGGGTCTGTGTCCTGGGACCCTGCCTCTGCATGGAGCCTGCTCTGCCCGCCTTGGGCTGGGGCACTCTGCACACTGCCCTGACAACCAGCTGCTTTATCTGCAACACAGACAGAGAGGGAAGGACAGCAGAGGAGAGGAGAGAGAGAGAGGGGGAGGAACAGGAGAATGGAAGTGCATGGTTTGGGAGAAAGGGATTAAGAAGGGAGAGAAGAGTGAGGGAAAGAGAGTGAGATGAAGGGAGAAAATGGTAGAAGTAAAGAGAAAGTAAAGATGATGGGAGAGTGGTTGGGGAACAGAGAAAGAGACACAGGAGCAAGAAAGAGCAAGAAGACAGGAAAGAGTGGATGTAGAAAATGAGATGGGGTAAGAAGATAAAAGAGAAGGCCAGAGCAAGAGAGAGCAAGAAAGAGAGAGTGGCAGAAAAAATTGGGAGGAGAGAAGAGAGTTTTGGAGTGATTGGGAAAGAACCAGAAAGGAGGTAAAACAGCGAAGGACCAAAAGTGTGATGTGAAACAAAAGAGAAAAAGAAGTATAAGAGGTCAAGAGAGGGGGATGAGGTATGGCAGGGGAAAGGAAAGAAGAGAGAAAAAATAAGAAGAATGAAATACATGTGTTAGTACCTGAGCTGCTCAAGTGCACCATATACCAGCATATAATTTGTTCTCATACTCCATAGCACATATAACTGAATGTATACACCCATACCACATGCCTGCATGTGCGCACATGCACACACACACACACACACACACACACACACACACACACACACACACACACACACACACACACACACACACACACACACACACACACACACACAGGTAAATGTAGGCAGTGTAGGTACCTGTGTTTTGGCTAGCCCTTTTGGTTCTGCTTCGAACGTACTGCACAGTGAGCTCCAGGATCTCTGCTTTCTCCAGCTTTGGGTTCTGGAGCCTCTGCCAGGGAGAGAGTGGGGTGTAAATCAGACTGCAAAATACTGAGAGAAACTGCCAAACACATAGCATGAACTTCTCATAAACAATAGCATATTTTCTTTGTAGAGCACTTGTTACGTTTATTAGGAAGCATAAGATCGATACCAATAAAGTTCCAGAACATGGGATGAAATACAGGATATTAATGTTATTATGAAGAGAAAAGAAGCCATGACTGAGAAAACAAAGAAAACCCAAAATTATTTTCGAACTCTTGTGTTCCAGGCGTGTGAATTGCCTGTGCGTTATTACGCATAAAGGCCGCGTGGGGCTGAAGAGAAGCTGCTCAGTACTAACTGCGCTGTAACAGCCTGAAAAAAGAGAAAGCGAAGGCTGTAAGATCCGTTAACTAACCGTGTCCATGGTGTTGCTAAGCAGCAGCGTCCGCAGCTCGTGCAGACTCTGGTTTATTCTGTCTCTTCTCTTCTTCTCAATAACGGGCTTCAGAGCCTGAATACAAACACAGTTAGTGTTAAAAGAGAAACAGAAAAGAAGACACTCGCCCTCGCTTTCTCAAGGTAAACTTGTAATGGGCATTGCTGCAGTCTTTAGAAAGGGGGACACAAACGCCTGTCCCCGGTAGGGTTTGTCCATTGTACATTCAGTCATAGTTTATGTAAGAAAAATGAACAGAACATTCCCATGAATGAACGTTCCTGTACATTTGAGAAAAAAAAACAAGTAACACGATTAGTTGTCCATAACAAATGTATGTTAACAACACACACGCACACACACGCATTTTGAAATAAAATACAAACTTTTAAATTGCTTTTAAATATCCTTTTTAACTCTACGAAAGACCCCTGATATAAGTGTATTTCTACCTCAGAGTTGTTACTGTGAATGTTTGAAATCCTAAATAATAATTATTTCTTTCATTTAAGAAACCACAAAAACTAAACGTAAGTAAAAGGGCAATCGCTGCCGTAATACGAATTAATTTCCTTAAAAGTTTTAATCCAATTGAAGAACTCACTCTGTTTGTCCCTTTAGAGGAATCCTTTCTAGAACCCATCACGATCGTTTTGGTGACTACAAGCTTGAGGATAGTACAGCAAAGACAAAACCTTTCTGGAAGTAATTTATAACAAAAGCGTCTAAGATCCGTGCGTCCGAAATAACCACAGGAAAGACAGTATCCAGACCATACAATCTGAGAGCCGCCGGAAAACGTCCTGTATTTATGTCGTTGTCAAACAGGCTTCCCATTGGTTGGGAGGTGTCAGTGACGTATTTCAGCCGTATGTTCGCAACTTTTTTTTCTAACCTCGATCCGTTGGCATCAGGGAAGGTGTTTCCTAAGAATGTATATTGTATTTGTTTCGGAAAGAATTCAAAACCATACATCTTCTAGCTTTGCTTTTGGTGTACTGCATTATCCTGTATGGCTAAAAAAGAACATTCACCAACAGCTTCAAGTTCATGTCCAGGATTCGTGCAAATTAAACTTCTCATAGTCAAAATCAGTGATGTCTAATCATCTTGCATGTAGTCTGTAGTTAAATTTAAATATTAATCTTAAAAATGACCAAAGCATCATAATTAATAAATGCTGCAGTGAGTGAAAATTGTCAATATTGAGAGGTATTTTAGCCATCTGAAACACTTTTTTTAAAAGTAATGACCATTTCCTATGTCCGGATGTCTCCATGACGCATACATTACTACAGCGTTTTCCAACGGTTGAACGTGGTACTTGAGCAAATGTTTCAACAATTTATGAACAATTTCAAACTTTATAAACTCTGTAAGTAATAACAAACATTTTGAGAATTTACATTCCGAATATACTTATAATACG